TTCGAGAGGACAGAGTAAAATGAGTAATGAAGGGGGAAGTGGCGAACTCCTCCCTTCATTGGGGCTTGCAACCCTTTCTAGAGACAACCGATAGGTCAAATCGCAACAAATGTTTGAAAAGGTTTTGGCGAGCCACAAGTTGACCACTCGCGGGCCGCATTTCAGCTGTGGGCCACAGGTTTTCCATCCCTGCTTTAAACAGTGAAAGCAGTGCCCTTTGTCTTTTAAAAGTTTTTGCCTTTATGAAAATGACCATTTTTGAACTTTGCAAAACTACTAAGCAGGAGAATCAGCACTCCATAAACTTGCTGCCATTGAACATGTTCATGAATAATTTTAAGAAATTTAATTCCATGGGACATTTCATTCTTCAAACCAAAACCAGCCACAGCTAAATTGATGTGGTCTTCAAAATCTATTTCTGATTTAAAAAATTTTAATAAACTGTTAAATCTACATTTTGCATCTGGGCTACATTTACACTTCTTTGATAGGGTCTTAATTCCTCAGGTAAACAAGACCCAACTAAAGGATAATGAAGCACTTTTATCTGTAGTGACGTCAAAGTTTCCACAGCCCAAATTTGTTGTTCCAAATTATCATACAATGCACATAAGTTATTAGAGGAATCACTAGAATTTGCATTTCTCAGAAAATATTTTAACAATCCTCTCACGAAACACTCATTTTGACATAAATAAGTCATCAGAAAATCTATGGCCTTGGGATAATTAGCAGCTGCTAGGGGGAAAACTTTCTAAATTAGCAGAAATTGTTAAAAGAGAACATGTGCTCATTCACATAACCCGTATTTACACTGTAGTTTCGGAGACATCAGAGCTCCTTCATCCATAGACTTGTTTGTTTGTCTATGATCTGTGTTCTCACTGGCCAGTTGTATATGTCGCAAGTACCCATTTCTAGCTCATTAGTGGAACTGCTGTAATTACTATTCCTAGCAGCTTTTAATGGAGACAGAAGAGAAACACATCTCAAATAAATCATAAAAGTGAAGCAACAACCTGTGTTAGGCACATATTTTTAGCACAGAAAATCTATCAATTTGAAGGGCGAATAAAGTCCCTCTTCATCAGGAGCAAAGAAATCTGCAACTGTAAAAACAAATTACAGACATATTTATACCCTAAGAAAGTCAAGAGAGATGAGAGAGTAGCACCATCATTATTTCTAATAATAACAAAAATTGAAAAAGTAGGATAATAGAGATTTAAAAGCGTTACGTAGGATTGGATTAAAATCATTAACTAAACACCGTAAACTTTTGTGAATGTGAAAAGCTTCAAGAAAATTTAATTATCCAGGGAAAGAAGCTTTCTGGATAATTTTTGCAGACCCAAAGTGGAAATTGTGATTAAATTTCCAACTTGATTAGCAATCAAAGATTTGTAAATTCCTTCTTTTGGACATAAGATTTATGTTCCTTAATGTGAAACCTTAATGCTCTTTTGTTTCAGCTGATACATATCGACCCACACTGACAAGATAAGATATGCTATAAAATTTCTCAAGAATTCACAAGATATGCTATAAAATTTCTCAAGTCCCCCCCAAAGCATGGCTAGGTTATTAATGATTTGTTATTAAAATTTACACTATGAGTACTTAAGTGGCAAAATGTACCTTCCTGGGTTTCTGAAATTTTGGAGAATTTAAATGCTTTTTTGATAGGGGCGATGATTTGAGAAACTAAAGGTTTAGATATCTTAAAAAAATTGAAGTTATATTTGAATACTTTTATCTGATCCTCTGAAAGATTAACATTTGAGATATTCACAATCAGATTAGCATTAGCTGTGGGAAGATAATCAGGATGGGCAGGGTTAGCCGAATGGGGTGTGAGCTTTTGGAATTTACTATCTAGGACATTTTTAAGGCACACACAAGGGATTTCAGTTCTAGACGAAGATTAATTTTGAAACGAGGACAAATTTAAATTAGAATTAGCAACTTTTAAATGAAGGTAATATAATTCATATTCAATTTTAGACAATGTGATGAAGAAAGGACAATTTAAATTTATGAATAATTTTTGAAACACTAAGCGAGGATTTAAGACTACATTTCATTTGCATAAATTTGGGAATGACAAGATGATGTTAGCATTTAAGCAAAAAATGGAGACGGTGAAAGAATTTCACACACTTAAGATGTAACTTACAAAATCAGTTCCTGTCTGTTGACACATTTTGAAGGGCAAAAGAAGCACGAAAAAGTGGTGAACATAAAAATTATGAAAAGACGACAAATAAATAAGGCAAATCAATAAAAATATCTAAAAAACAACATTACAAACAAAATAACTTAAGAAAGTGAAACAGTACAAAAAAGAAACAATATTGATAAAATTTAAAATGAGTAATACAAAGTAATTTCCTCAGAGTTAATGATTTTAATCCAATCCCACCTAATGCTTTTAAATCTCTATTATCCTAATTTTTCAATTTTTGTTATTATTTATACTAATAGCTAGCACTACTCTCCAGTCTCTCTCGACTTCCTCAGGGTATAAATATGTTTGTAACTTGGTTTTTCAGTTACAGATATCTTTGCTCCTGATGAAGAGGGACTTCAGCTTCCAAATCGATCGAGTTTCTATGCTAAAAATATATGCCTAAAACATGTTGTTGCTTCACTTTTATAATTTTATTGAAGTTCAATTCTTCTGAATTGGAGAAAACATGCAAGTGCAAAAGTCGCAAAATAATCAAGACCTTTACAAGAGGAATATGATAAACAGAGGACGGACTATCACAGTTATGTGGTAAATGAATGGTAGTAAAAATCTTTATTACAAGAATAATTGTAATGTGGGTAAGACACTTGTTTTCTACAGAATTTCCACAAAATTAATAACTCCTTAGAATGGTCAAATTTGAAATATGCGAATTCAAATCCTACCCCTAGAATTCAGCCATTCTAGAGGTATATACTTTTTTCAATAAAAAATCATTAATCTATGTATTTTGAATCAGGTCTTTTATAGTATTATCATTATTTTTTTATTATTTATTTATATATTTATTTTTTGTGGTTCCTCTTTTGGGGAAAAATCACTAACTTACGCATTCTGAATGAGGATCACTCAGGGGTTGTCTTCTTTCTTTTTTCATACAGCTGGCCCATATGGCAGGTATAGATCAAGGTCTATCCCTGAGATCTACCTATAGATCAAGGCCTAGCTGAACACAGAGCTGCAGCTAGGATGGGGCAAAGGGGGTACATCTGTCTCTGGGTGCTGCATCTGGGGGATGACAAATTCATGTTAAGATATTTTAAAATAAAACGTTTTCTATTCTTACCATCCTAAAGAGGGTGCAAAATCTTTAGTTGTCACCGGGTGCTGGAAACCCTAGCTATGGCTTTGATTGTGTAGACAGACCTTGGATATCAATAAACAGTACCTAAAAGCGTTTTTTATAAAGACAATAAGGAAAAATTTAAGTATGGATTTGTTGTCATTTTTTTAACTGAATTGCTTCTATTGTAAAGTGCTTTAATATATTTTGCAAATAAAGGTATCCAAGCCCTGGTGTTGCCCCTCATAACTCCCACATTCGAACGTACTTGTCAGTGCTTTTTGAACCAGTGTGTATATTGATTATTTCTCATTTATTAAATTATTTATTAAATTATTATTATTTCTCATTGCTTAAAAGTGAACCACAAAAAAAGTTTCTTTGTAAAAACTGCTAAAATGTCAAACACAAAATGGTCAATAAAGGGTCACTGGGTTCTCCCATGGGATATATATTTCAGAACAGTCAATGCAATATCATCAGAATTGATCGCATCTACAAGTTAAAAGAATATGAAGAACTGATAAAGATGTCAAGCGAAAAAGCAAAATTTAAGGTAATACGAGCAGGCCCTGATCAAATCAAGAAGTTCAAGAAGTCAGGGACTACTGTCTATAAAATGTCGAGAGTATGAGATGAAAACTACAGCTGGCATATCAGAAATAAAGCTAAAGTAGGCTTCACAATATTGTTAATATGGCATTTTGTCATCTGAAGACATCTATCCATTTCATATCCAGTTTGAGTCTATTTCTATTATTATTATTCAGTCTATTTCATATCCAGTTTGAGACAAGATATGTTTACCCTTAGAAAATTTTGCAGCACTTCCTTGACCCTGTCAAACCAAACAGCATTTAGTGAAGGAAAGAATTTGATTAATGTAAAGAAGATCATGGATGTTCAAAAGAGCATTCAATACATACCGACTGAGCATACAGACTTTTCACAACTTCATCATGCACTAGCCGATAACAGGAATAGAAAGCAACAAGGAGAATGGCAAAAAAGAGGATTAAAGTTTCATTATAATTGGGAACACTCTTGTTTTTTTCTACTTATTCTTTATTATTACATTTTTAACAAATTTCACTACTTTCAAGTCTGTTTACCTAACAAAATACAATTTAAAATTTAATGCTAGTATTTTTTATTATTTTATAATTTCACAACAGATTATACCTAATTTTCTTAGCAATGCTTTTCTATAGCTACATTATATTAATGTAACATTGGGTTTTAGAAAAAACAACAAATTTTTCATAATAGTGAGTATTTTTCTATTTCGTGAACCAATCTGAGAAGAAAAAGTATTGCAATTTGTAAAAACGAGATAAGTTTATTTATTATTATTTTTTTCATTTTAATTTTATGGGCAGGAAAGGTCCATGAACAACAGAATTGTTTAAATGACAATGGATCACTTGGATCCTAGTTACACCAGTCTCATAATTTTTTGTTTTCAACTTATCATATTCTTGGGGGGGGGGGTTATCCTGTAAAATCTAACATGTTTAACATGATAACTTGTCACACCTAACAATTTAATTACATCTTTCTTTCAAAATGAATTGTATTACAATCACATACTAGTAAATTTCTTTTCTTGTCATAATATCAGTTACAAAACATTTACTTGGTTAATCCAACTGATTAAGGAAGAAATAAAAGAAGTAAACTTACTAGAAATCTTAAAGACACAAAATCAACAAAGCTGAGTTCAATATAAAGTAAAGCTGAGTTCAATATAAAGTTTGGAATGAAAGCATATGGCTGATCTTAAACATCCAACTTGATTTGGGAATATAATGAAACCTACAAAAGTAAATAAGATATAACATAAGAAAATACATAAAAGAAACTAAGGTTATTGCTTTATAGTCTAATGATTTATTTCAATTACTTTAGACATAATTATACATAAAAATGCAATCTGAAAATTTTTATATCGATCATTCACATTCTTTTTTTTAAATATGTATTCAGAACATTTCAGTTAATGTGTTACATTTAAGGAGCTATCTTAAATCAAACTTAAAAAAATGGCACTATTCAAGTAACTAAGTGACTATTATTTAAACAGAGACAATTATGATAACTATATTGGTTCTGAAGATACATAACATTTTTTGTCATTTTGCTAATGTTTATTAATATATCAGGGTTCGTACACATTTCTGCACATGGAAATTAAGTACTTTTAAGGACCATTAATGAAAAAAATTAAGGACCTGTGAGCAAATGGAAATGTAATAAATTAAATTAAAAATATTATCTATGCCTGAATTTCACTTTTGTAATACCATCCTAAAAATAAAATAGATCCCTAAGCATTACTGCTAAACATGAATTAATTAGCATAATCATTAATAAATTTGAGAATAAAATAAACTTTATGCAGTTTATCAAGTAGCATTAATTATTTTACACTTATTATAGTTGGACATATTAGAAAGAAGATAAATGACATCTACGTTTTACTAACAGTTAGCTTTTTGTTGATTTTTTTTTTAATGTCTCTTGTCACATACTTGGTCAGTCTAGAGGTTTAGTCAATAGCAGGTAGATTTTTATGTCAAACAGCATAGGTTAAAATAAGAAGTAAGATCATAATCAGCATGATTCATAACCCAAAAGCCTGAATATTGTCATCGCTGCTGCTTGTCTAGAGACAGACTTGCTGATTAGAACAAACCTGAAAGGCCTGGTGTAGGCATGGTTGGCAAGTGTTGAAAGTTAGTCAGGCTCTGTTTGATGCAGTTAGTGTCATAGCTTCGGGTTAAAGTTCCAGGGGTTGTAACCCAATTAATGTACTTTAAGGTTCCAATAAAGCCATTAAAGCATTAGAGGTGATAAGTTATTAGAGGTGATAAGTTTGTACTATTTTAAGTCTCACTAGATGCAAAGAATAAGTTTTACTTAAATTTTTAAATTTTTTGTGACTACAGTGAGTATTAATGAAAGGCAATAACTCACTTTAATATGTAGAGATAATTTTTAGGGTAAGCAGTTAGTTATAAAAAATTAAATTAGGTAGTTAATAACCTTAGTCATTATGGATTTACATGGCCACTATTTTAATTTTATTTTTAACATATTTGCCAATATTTGTTAAAAAAGTCCTATTAAAATCAAAATCTAATAAAATTCACAGTTTAAAATACATGTAATAAAGAAAAAGTAAGCACCTATAAGGGCCTTTATATTTTATTTTCAAATATAAGGACTTATAAGCACTTATAAGGATCGCTACGAACCCTGCTTGTGATATTTAAAGTGAAAAAAATGTCAGTAAATAAAGTGCATTTATGACACTGCATTTTGTATGAATTCCAAAAAGGAAGCAACGCATCGGTTGCATGTAAAAATTTATGTGCAGTATTTGGAAAAGATATTGTAAATGGTCATACTTGTCAAAGATGGTTTAGCAAATTTGTTCATGGGGATTTTAGCCTCCAAGAAAGTGATCGATCTAGAGGATCATCCAAGATCGATAATGATGTTTTGCAATCCACGTTGGAAAATAATTCTCATTTAACAAGTTGAGAAATTGCAGAAGAGTTTGGCGTTCATCATACAACTGTTGGAGATCACATTAAATTTCTTGGGATTGTGTTAAAGCAAAGTGTTTGGGTTCCACATGAATTAACGGAAAAGAATTTGTCTGATCATGTAAGAATGTGTTCATCACATCTGATTAGACACAATGTGGATCTGTTTTCGGACAGGCTGGTTACTGGAGATGAAAAGTGGATTCTTTACGAGAATATTAAGAGAAAAAAATCTTACTGCGAACCAGGAACATCATCAGCAACAGTTCCAAAACCAAGTATCCATCGACGAAAAGTACTGCTTTGTTTGTGGTGGGACAGGAAAGGTCCAGTGTACTACGAGTTGCTGAAACAGGGAAAAACCATTAATGCGGATCTGTACTGCAATCAGCTCGATAAATTGAATGCAGCTATCAAAGAAAAAAGGACAGCATTAGCGTCCAGAAAAGGAATAGTGTTCCACCATAATAATGCTTGACCACATACTGCAATGATGACACAACAAAAACTGAATGCGTTAAGATGGGAAGTCCTTAGTCACCCACCGTATTCACCTGACATTGCACCATCTGATTATTACCTGTTCAGATGTCTGCAAGATTATCTAACAGGAAAAAACTTCAAGTCTTTTGAAAAAGTTTTTCTAAGACAGTTGCTGACTATTTTAACTCCAAGGCCGACAACTTCTACTAAACAGGAATTTACAGGTTACCTGAAAGATGGCAACAGGTTGTAACAAATAACAGAGCATATATAACTGATTAATATCAAACACATATTTTTATAAATGAATTCAAATATTTTCTTTAAAATACGGCAGAACTTTCCAACCCAATATTATTACGCTTGGCCGTACTTTAGGCTCTTGATAGCTTTGCAGTCAATTAGCATTAAGGGCACAACTCCATTAGAATCTTGATAGCTTCGGCTATATCTCTTTAATTAAGACAATAACACCCGAATACTAATTCAGAAGTCAAACACAAAAATCAGCGTTAATTTACAAAATTTTCACAGGACTAGTTTCGATGGTTTTACCGAACCATCATCTTCAGCTGCAAAACCGCAAATGAACAAGTAGGAAATAATGTTTAGATAAGATAAAAGCCTGAACAAATAACAGTGGCGCCATCTGTTGGCGAAACCAGAACTAAAACATAATTTCTCTAAAAGCCGAAGGCAATTTGGATTGGAATTAGGATCGTTAACTAGAACAGAAAGATTTTTATGAATGTGAAATGCCTCTAGAAAATCCCAGTTCTCCAATGGAAGATGTTTTTTGAATAATTTTTGGCAGCAGAAAAATTGAAAGTGTGATTTCGACCAACAATGTTGAGCAACAGAAACTTCTGTGTTTCCTTTTTTCTAACATATGCCTCATGTTCTTTGACGCGAAATTTTAAGTCTCCTTTCTTTAGTTTGGCCAATGTAAATTAAACCACACGGCAAGGAATCCTATAAATACCCCAGGAATTCATTCCGAATGGGTTCCTTGAGTATAGAAGTGGAATTTTTGATGGGAGAGTAAACAACCCGAAAGTTAAATTTCTGCAAAATGTGCAACTTTATAGCTAATTGATGAAAGAAGGGAATGAAACAGAATTTTTATAATCTCCTAAAATAAGAGTGTGGCTTTTAGTGTGTTGAGATGAGAATTTTTTAACTGCTTGATAATAATGTTGGTGAAAGCCCCTGTCAATAGCTATTTGCTTTTAAATAATTTAGTTTCTTCATCAAGGGCTAGTTTGAGGAGCAAACTTGAAGAGCACGGAAAACATAGAATAAAATGAAGCTAACTTTTGTTTAGTCGGATGACATGATTTAAAGTGTGGTGGAAGGCAAACCGATGAGGTTTACGGCACAAGGGTTACGGTTGCTTACAAACATTTTGTTTTCTATTCATTTCAGTGAGGGATTTTTCTGCTGTTTTGTGTGTACTTTATTATTGCTCAGTTAATTTTTATTTGATTTTCTGCATTGTTTATCATGCCTTTCATCCGTTAATCGTTTCACTAAATTACGCCTGAAACGGCAAAAATTCCTGAATCATCTTGACTTTTTACTTAAATGTAAATGTAAAAAATTGATCCCAATTTTTATTCAAATCAAATCTAATCAAAAACCTTCGAGTCGCGTTTCAAGAATCTGTGTTAAATTGCAAACTTGCCTTACTTCGGTCCCGTCATAAGGGATACACGTCAACAATTGTCCAAAATTGAACATGAACTCTATAAGCTTCATCTGGAACTCGCTAAAACATATCCAAAATTCACTGCCCTTGAACAAAAGTCTTGGTCTAGAACGGAGAATGCAGCTAACCGTCATAAAAACACCTTGCAGTTAAATTCGAAAAACTTCTTTTACAGTCCTTCAAGTAGTAGTTCAAAAAATCCTTCCCATTGTAAACATCAAGTCTAATATAATGTTAGTCTTTCAGAAGAACAAGAGAGAATTCTAAAATATAATTTTAACTTCTCACAAACCTGTAAACCCTCGATTCCAAGATTTTGGCTCCTATCGAAAAAGCTTTCAAGTTCAGTAAAGTTTCAGATTCACAGAAAGAAATGATTAGGCATCTTATCGCTCATAATGTGAAATTCAATAAATAACCTTGAAACCAAATCACATCTAACTGCGAGAGAAAGAGCTACAATGCGCGAAATTCATTCTAACCCGGATATTGTCATTTCAAAGGCCGACAAAGGTGCCAGATAGTCGTCATGGATAAGAACACTTACATCGATGGTGTCACTAAACTCTTAAACGAAGGACCATATAATCCGATCCCTAAAGATCTTCACCTTCGGACTTATCCAAAAATAAAAACTGCGATCAAATCTTCGCAAATCATTTCAAGCAACTTAAAAAAAAACATTCGCTTATCCCATCTGTTGCGAATTGTGCCAGATTATATGCTCTTCCCAAAATTCATAAAGTGGTATTCCTTTCCGCCCTATTGTATCAAATTTAGGTTGCCTCGTATCCATTAGCTAATATTTAGTTTCTAGATTTTCCAACTCTATTAGACAATAACATTTACACCATTAAAAAATTCAATAGAGTTTGTAAAAAGGTTAACAAATTCTCCTAGTAATTTACTCATGGTTTCTTTGATGTAAAATCATTATTCACCAATGTCCCAGTGGAGGGTGCATTTAAGATGTCTAGAAACCAGACTTCGCGAATTTCATTTCTCTTGCATCGAAATTGATGAGCTAATTTCTCTCACTCAACTCTGTTTGAAACAAACACATTTGTTTTCCA